TCCGCGAGACGAAGCGCAGCCGTCGAGTCGTTGCTGCCGCCGTTAGCCGCTGCGAGCCGCCTTCGACGTGTCATTCGTTTCCTCCGTCCCGTTTTTCGAATGTTTTCTCGAGAATGGTACATAGGCTCGAACCCCGTCTTGTTTAATTGTGTATTACGTGTTAATGTGTTAGTTATATGTTATAAAATCCCATGTTGATATGATGGTTTATTTTAGATTAATGTATATGAATTGATCTCGTCGATTTTGAGAAACCGAACGAGATCACCTTAAAAACGTGTTTAGTTGCTATGAAATTGGAACATAACGTGACCTTGGTCTTATCGTGAAGGCCTCGGACGATTTCGTTATAAATCGAGTCATATATGCATAATTGAACTCGTATAATTCCTGATTGTGTATTAAATTTGTAATAAATCACATATTAATCCGATTGATGTGAAATTTTGTGTGAGAGGTCCTCAGCTAATTATGCCTGTCGTGTAAAATGTTCAGAGTTAAATACCAACTATAGCTATTTTAATTAATTGTTTTGATTTCCGGTAAGAATAGTGTAAATTGCATATAAAATCGTATTGTGCTCCGAAATGGCTGAAATTTTGATATTTTTTTTTCTGTCTTATTCTGAAGTTGTGTAAAATTTTTAGAATTTTTGGACTTTGTTTTCTAGGGTAAATAATTTATTGTAGTATTCTGCTGAAACATGTTTTCATTATAATAATTTGATCCGTTGCTGTAAATTGCTAATTTTTGGTCGAGGTACTCATTTAATGATGTTATGTGTGTGAAAAAATGTCCAGGGTTTTGGAGTTCGTATTGGTTCAGTTTTGCTGAAATATTGATATCTGCTGAATTTTGTTACAATTTTCATAATTTGCATGTTTAATGTTTAAAGCTGACATTTTTACATGTTGCTATTTAAATTCTGAGGATTCTTGTGTAAACATTTCAAAGGTTTAATCGTTCGTTATGTCAGTATTTTAATTTGTGCTCGTTTTTGCTGAAAACTTGTTTGAATTTTATAAAATCATGTATTCTGAGTTAAGGGCTGAAATTTGGTGGTTTTACTAAGTCTAATGAAATGGATTTTATGTTAAAATATCAGAGCCTAACTCTTTCGGTAACCTGACCAACCTGACTATGTGATTTATCGACTAGTATTTCAAAAATATAGTTTTTGTGTTAAAAACTGTAAACCGGCTCGCATTCTGTTTCTTGTTTGTTTGTCTTGGTCAACCCTTAGTTGAATTTATGTGAACTCCCATATGTGTTTTGGTTGAGTATAAGTGCCGAGTCTAAGTGTTCCAATGTCCACAGGACTTCACGAACAACTTAGTCGAATCAAGTTCGGCTAAGTCTACTTTGTGTTTTCCATTTAATTCAAGGTAGATGTTGATTATAGAATCTTGACTTAATGTAGGTGTGTGAGGAGTCAAGCCTCGACCTACGTACCTTCTATTTTTGCTCTTATCAATCTAGAATCCAGGTGGGTTAGTTATTCTAAAATGTCAATGCATGTGTGTTTTAAATATGTTGAACCGGTATGATCTCTGTATGCATGTGAGCATGTAGCCTATCGATGTGAGCTGATACGGCCGTCGGTACGGTTGTCCCCGTCGAGTTACGGTACGGTTGACCTTACAAGGCAAATCTTCTTAAGTCCTATATAAAAGCTGTGTCCTTACGTGGCATGCACTCCCGTATCCTTACATGGCACGGCTAAGCGTAGATGTGCACATGAGTGAGTCATTGATGTGACTAGTCATTGATGTGACTAGATATGAGACATGATGTTATTGTTGTTTATGTTTATGCTGCGACCATACCATCCTAACATATTTTGTGGTGTTCATATACATAGTGTGAGTACAATATTTTCCAACTGTACTCACTCTCATCTGCTCTTCACGGATGCAGGTTAAGCAGTTGGTGGGTGACGAGACTAGGCGAGTGGGTGGTCTTGCTCATTTATGATTATTATTATGCTTCCGTTTATCTATGACTGTTATTATGTTGGATTTGAACCCTTGAGATTATGCTTTTACTTAATGGTTGTTTTGGAACTTAATAAATGTTTAGTTTAAATTTGATAACTGTTAGTTACGCATGTGAAGGTTTTATCTGATATGTTTGTATTTTCGATTAATGGTCCTCGGTAGTGAAGTAGCGACCGTTGAGTTTTAAATTTAATTTGAGATTTGCGAAAAAATAACTCTGATTTTATAAATAAGTTCGATAAATCCTTTAAAACAAAGTGGGGCGTTACAGTAATATTATTTAAGTAATTGGAGGAGTGGATTTGGCCACAGTTAGTCCATTACTTAATAAACCCTATTCCTCTTCTCCTAAGGATCCCTACTGTAACTCTATATATACATCATTAAGCTCATGAGAAGAAAAAAGATTTGAGACATAAATGTGTATCACGCACGCCGTCCCTTTCTCTCGCTCTCTCTAAATCTCATTCGAGCTTTATCTTCTTCTTGTTGCTCCACCGATACAAGTTGAAGATGTGTGTGAGTAATACAGTAGAAGATCCCATGGTAACCGAGACCCCGTGATTAACATATATTCACCAACCCCAAAAAAGACGATCGCCGACCGCCGTGAACACCGGTCCGACGCCGTGAGCCGACAACTAGCCGACGACCGCCGACGCCGACCGAGGACCGCAGCGATCTGCTGTGAGCCGCGACGACCCGCCCGGCGATCTCCTCCGTGCAGCTCGTCCGACATCCCAAGCCCGACGTCGTGATCTCGCCACCATCAACTCGATCCCGACGTACTATTCCCGGTACATCCCGAATTCAACAGATTCAGAAAGTTTTAAGTCGTAGGTTTTCTACGTCAAACCTTTAAATCCGTTGCGCATAGTTTACGTTTGCTATTGAATCCGTGACTTGTAGATAACGAGATCCTCATAGATCCCAACACATGTCGGGTCATGGTAATAAAGATCCCGCACTGACAATCACTTAGCGTCATGTGAATACTCGTTGACAACCCAAACTCCTAAATCCACTGAAGATGGAGGAACCACCGCCAAAAGGTCTTATCTCACCGCCCAACCGGTCACCTCTTACAGACCTGAGGAGCATACATCCCGTCCTCAAAAGATGAAATTCTTCATGACACCATCTGTCATATAAATGAGACACCTAGCACCTCATTTGTTATCACGAACAAAAAAACAAAAACAACACTAGCAACACAAACAACACCAAGATATACGAAAGCTCCATCAAGAGCTACCTATGTAACAAAAATATTGTTTGCTAGCCTATTTTTGGAGAAACATTCTCCCTGCCGTCTCCCAACCGTTGGTCGAAATCGTGCATGCTTTCTTTCTCTTTCCCTCTCACAACTTACACCACTCAAATCATATCGGTTCCTCATAATGCCAACTCTTCATCCCTCTTGATCCCATCACCTAGAGTTGTTGGTCATAGCTCGTCAAAAAATTGGCGCTAGGAGGGCCTGATTTAATTTTTTACAGTGACTCTACCTTGTCCTAACCAGATCCAGAGATGTCTCACTCTAGTCTCACTTCAAACCAACTTGATGACAACGCCCATTCTCATCCTGAAGTGATCGACATTTTCCATAATCCCGCATTTGTTAAAGGCCTTACTGACTCAAATACTACACAATAATCCTCTTAGAAAAACTCATCCTCACACTTCTCATTAAAATCTTGACCAAAATCACGACACCCTATCTCACGAGGTCCAATCCCATGAGAGACCTAAGGTCCTTAATAAGGGTATAGAAAAAACTGCCCTAACCATCTTAATCTCTCGAAAGACTGCGAAAGCGTGGGTGATAATTAGGCCCATATGAGTTTAAATTTCGATCGGTATTCAACAATTGAGCTTTAAACCTGAAGAACTCCGCTAGCAAATTACAAAGAAGATCCATTGAAAAAAAAAGCCAAGGAAATCGCCTCACTCAAAAGACAAATCACTAAACTCGTAGCTACACATACATTGGAAATGGCTAATCGGGTTACCTCTAACCCCCTTTCATTCCCAAAAGGCGCCTCCTCTATTCTACTTCACCACTTTCTCCTCACATATTGATGGAGAACCTACCCGGGAAAATCAACGTCCCCCATATAGGCCTATACCATGGCGATACCAATCTCGACGCTCACTTGGGACAGTATACATCCTGGATGGATCTTCGTGGCGCCAACGATGCTCTTCAATGTTGTAATTTTTCCCTCACTTTCGGGCCTAAGGCACAAAGATGGAACCACTCATTATCGCCAAGGTCTATCCAGAATTGGGAACAATTGCAATCGGCGTTCCACATGCATTTGTAGGATCGTAGGTGTGTATGGTCCCCAAAGAGTCGATCACAAATATCTTTCAACAAGTCAATTAGATCTTGAGATATTACATCGCCCGACTTAATGGCCGAGTCCAAAATATGGAGCCTTGTCACCCAGAGACTCTTCTACTATCCGCCTATGCTGGTTTTCAGTGTGATTCATTATTTTGATGGTCTCTTTGCCAAAACAAGTAGCTCATTTCCCATGAATTTCTCTCACGTGCTCAGCAACACATAATCGCGGAGGAATCCATGTATCTACCTACCTTCGGAAACCCACCTGAAACTTCTTCCAAATCTAAAGATACTCCCTCTTGTCGCAGGAGCCCCAAGTGTCTCCATTTTCTCTACTTAATTAAAAATTTTCGGGAAAATCTTGACGAGACTACAGTCCTCTAACAAAACCTATATTCTCTCGGGGCTGCATCTATTTTTAAGGAAATCAAAGATAAAGGAATTCTTCTCGATCCTCGCCCGGTCATGCTTGATGAAGCCACTTTGGACAAAACCAAATATTTCTCTTATCACAAGTCGTCGCCCGGTCACACCACCAATCGAGGATGAAGTCTATGACTGATCTTTTAGAAGTTATCGATCATCCCCAGGTAGATCGGTTTGCTCATGCAAAAGAGGTCATAAAATAAGACGAGATAATGACCCCTTGCCCAATGACGATCCATCTGCTATTGCGAAGCATCCTCGTAACCCCAAAAGAAATCTTTGTGTTCCACAAAGACATGCCTCCACGATTATTTACACGGAAAGACGGTTTTGGTACTTCACGATCGGCGCCAAAATCCCGATGGGTCCCAACAGGGCACATTCCAAAGACGATAGGGTTAGTTGATTCCGAGATCACTCACCTCGTCAACAATAACAAATCTGAAATCCATGGGTCCCCCAGTCAACAAAAAGCTTTCTTCCAAAAAGCTAACAGTGCTGACCAGAGAAGTTTGTCGACTACCCCCAGATCAGACGATGGTCATCACTGTTCTATCTCTTTTTTTGAACAAGATGTCGTACAAATCTGTCATCCTCATACAGATGTCCTTGTCATTACTTTCACTATTTTCAATATTCTTATTCATCATAATGGTAGATACCGGGGTCTACGCTAGTTGTATTTTCCTCTAGACCCTCATTAAAATGGGTGTCAATCTTTATGATGTGTGTCCTTGCAATGACGTGGTCAAAGCGTTCAACGGTGGAATTGTCCTTCCCATCGGCGAGATTGCTTTTTCGATGCCTTTCGACATTCGGGGATCGCCCTCTCGCACCATATTGAAAACCTTCAAAATTGTAGAGAAAATCACCAAATACAACGTTATCGTCGGCAGGCTTGCTCTTACAATCTCAAGGCTGCCACATTTATTTATCATTATGCTCTAAAGTTTTCCACCATCGTTGGGGAAGGTATCCACTATGGCGATCAACGTGCCGCTCGAGAATGTATTTTGGCGATCCCCTTTAGGGAAATATTTACCCCCTTAAACGAAGATATGCCTTCAGCGTCCTCCAAACCCTCTCACGAAAATGAACTAGACCTCACCCGAGATTGAGGACGCCGAAAATAGCCTCAAACGCCAATCGATGAGTTGGATCATGTAACATCTCAGCGATTTGGATTGACCAAGGGAGATGGAGGTGATTGACACTAAAATAGATATCAACGTTTTTATAATTCCAATTCTTTTACCAAACATGAATTATTTATTCAAATGAATTTTTAAATCCAAAAGTCCTTTAGACAAGTATTTCCAAACAAGCTCTAAGTTGTTGAAATAAATCTTAGAGATTTATTTATAGGTTGAATTTAACTGTCACCACTGAATTTGTATCCGTTTGATCAACACATATCCAATGTGTTGATTTGATCCGGTTAAAACCCGTGTTGGTCATGCTCACTAGAGCATGATCTATTTTTCAAATTTCATGGACTCCACAGTGTATTTCGCCATCAATTTATTGCCTTGTAGACAGTAATTCACTTAGATCCTCTTAATTTACCAGCATTCATTTGATAAAAACCATATTTGAATGCTATTGTGCTCACTTGAGGTTTCTGCCTATACACATTCCGCACACCTTTTAACAAGCCCACCACTTACCCAAAAGCCACCAAATATACCAAAGAGACGGATACAAATCAGAATCACACAATTGTATCCCAGTTCCATCCAAAATAGAACCGCCAAACAATCAA